TATATAAATAAAACAATTTTCAAAAAACAGGAGAACATCATGATATAAAATCTATTTTTAGGAGTGTCCCGACAACTTTTTCACTTCCGATACTGATATCAACTCGATACAAAATTAGAACGAATCCTCTATATTTGTATTACTTTTATTGTAGTGTGGAATCTTACAAAGTATTGATCAAGTCTAACAGAATACAGTCAACAACAGTAGGTATGAGGAAGACTGGTCCCATTTATTAACCAATGGGTTGCATAAATTTTTAACTTAAACATAAAAATATTGTACAATTAAATGCAATAAATAATAAAAAGAAGACCCTGGAAAATTTCTTCCATAAATCCAATAAAAACAAAATATACTTTTAAAAGGTCACTCAGGTCCAAGTGGTGCTTCTGAGCAGACCACTGGAATGGACCGCTTGTGTCAGAGCGCTAATATCAGAAATTTCAGATGCAGGCTGATATAATCAGATATTCAATTTTTGTCTATAATCAGACCGATATCCGATTGGAACACCCACTACCCTGATCTTAGACATCTCAGACTGCACCTGTTTGGTTTGTCATAATTTATTTTATTTAACTAGACAAATCCCACTGAGATCATAGATCTGTTTTTCAAGGGAGGCCTGGGCCTGAAGGCAACCTATTGTACATGTTGGGGTGAGGAACAGCCAGAGAACACCCACACAAACACAARGAGAACATGTAAACTCCATAYAGAAAGACCTCAGGTTTGAACCCAGGACCTGTTGTGAGGCATCGTTGCCAACCACTGACCTGTTGTGCTGCCTTTACAAAACAAAATTGTGTTACACCTTCTCTGTTTCACACAAGCGGCTCGTCAGACCCCTCAGTGGGCTCAGAGAAAGTAAAAGGAGAACGAGGGGGCTGGGGACCATCCCTGAAATGTGTCAGGCCATCACAGTGCCACCCCTCCCTCCTTGCATACCTTGGGTCACTATTTTTAGGAGAAACCACACACTCTCACACACACACTCACATGCATGCACACTTTCCACTCTGAGCCATGTAGCTGGAGCAAAGGGTAGTAGAGGGGATAAAATGAGGGGTAAAAAGCACATGTATGGCAGAACAGAATGTAAGCGGAGAGCTGCCTCCTGAGAACAGGTGCCTCTGAGGAAAATATTAAATGGCTGGACCAGGGTCATCAGATATCTTTCATTCAAACTCCATCTCCCCTTTGGAAACATTAATCATGCAAGGTTAACAACAAATATAAACTTACTTGTTTTCAAAAACGATTGTGAGAGAGTCTTCATGGACGTCTTTGATAAAACCCTGAAATAAAAAGAAAAAATAAAACTTTGAGACATAGGCACTGAGACAAGAAGTAGGCTGTTAATTATGAGACTTCTCTATGTAAACCCYGACAGCTGCCTTGTGAAACATGTCACATCAATGTTGACTGTTGCTGGAAAATAATAAAAGAGCATCTCAGGCTTTTCAGAAGCCAAGACGATACGATGCCAACACAATCCTTTGGCTGTGAAGTCTCAGTCGAATGACACGACAAGAAAAACTGACTCCCCGACAAATCATCAGGGGATCCCCCATCCTTACATTGATACGGTAATATTCACTAAATTATAATAGTTTCATTTTGTGTGGAAAACAGTCGTTTTTAGTTCAGAGGGCCACATGTACCAGACTCATTCAGCCATGTGTGGCGAGTGTGTCAGCCCACTGGCAGCTACTTTGTGTTACTTGACCATTCACAAATGTGTCACTTCATGTCATAAAGCTTCACTAACGCCCCTTTCCCCAACTGTGTGCTGAGCAGGAGGGTCTAAAAGAAGGGTGGGGCCTGTTTCACAGAGTGACACAACCAAATAAGGAACAGAGCAGTAGCTGTGGGTGGGCATGGAGGCTGGAAACTGTGGGGTGGACTTACCTGCAGGTTTAGATGCTGCTAAGACGGACAGAAACTATAATGCTGGATCTGATTAAAAAAACTACACCCAACAACGGTCACATCTGTCCTGTTTCATCATTTAAAACATACTGCAGTGGTCATCCACACAGATGCCTATAAGACAAATAAAGTTAAAATATTTTATTCTGCTTTTATTTACAAAACACAATCAAAGCAGAAGGTTTACCTGCTTGATTCTGTCTGTTCYGTTTGAAAAACGGATTTCTGCGAATGAACAGGTCTACATTTGTGGATTATGCTGACACTTGGGACTGAATATTTCATTTGCAAGTGGTTTGTAAATAAATGTGAGCTATCCGCTTCGGAGATATTTTGTTTGTTTATATTTAGCTTCAGATGTAGATGTACCCACCGCCGAGCTAAGCTGAGCCTTTTGGGTTTGAACTAAGTGTTTAACATCACATTTATGGCAACAGAAGCTCTCTCAGACACAATTACTGTRCTGCAAGAAGTGAAATAATTCATAACTTCACTCCTAGGGTTGGGCAATATCTGCAAAATAATTACTGTATTTATTCATGTATAATACTAGAAATTTAACCCTAAAATCATCCATAAATTAGGGGGGTAGTATTATATATGGGTTATTAATGATTTGATTTTTTAGGCTTTTTAAGCTAAAAAATTATGATCGTATTATACTCGAGATCGTATTATACATGAACAAGTAATCACAATTAAATGTATTTAGCCAATAACGATTAATAGGACGATTAATCCCCTGGAGTCCCTGGATGCCTGCATATCCTAGTCACACGACCAAATTAAATCACTCTAAGTGGGAAAAGTTAGCTCTTTGTAAAAATCTGTTCCAAATTGTGTCAAAAGTACAGACAGGCTACAACAAGACTATACATCAATTCTAAATTGTGTTGAGAGACCAAGTAAAACCAGAGCTATGATAAATAAATTACAGAAGTTTTTAAAAAATGTTTGTTATATTTGAAATGGAGGGGAGCATCAAGTGGTCTGACCGAGGAAATCACCAGTCTGCCAGGCGGCATTAACCGTATTAATCGTCAAGTGCCAAAAAATGAAACTGATTTTTTTTTTCTGACGATGAATTGCACATGATACGATTTTCCTCAACCCTAACTCCTACTGTACCTGCTTTGAACCCACCATGGCAGCTACATCCACATTTTAATCTGCTGAAGTCCACCTTGGAAATGAAGACGGCCAGATTTGGACCAGTTCCCCCCAGCCCCATTTTCTTACCAATTTATTAGAGATGCATGATATATTGGCATTAATATAGATATCCGTTGATATTGGTCATTTTTTAGAATATCAGCATCGGTCCAATAAGTAAAACTGGGCCAATATTAATGTCTGATATTGATTTCCCAGTTTTTATCTTTGTGTTTCTGTTTTGGGAGGGGAGATGGTTGGTTGAGAGGCATCTGCTTGATCATGATAGTGATAATGACGCTGTGTAGCCAGAGAGCCATTAAGACCCAAGTGTGTTTGTGTAATATCAGTAAATATTGGTTATCAGCCGTAATAGCAATAATTATATTGGATATTGATATCGGTGCATCCCTATTTATTATCCGTTCATTATTCAAGGTTTTTTTTAGTGTTGAAGTCTTAAGATGCTTTCTGTACGAAGACAACTCTCATGCAGGTGTTAAATATGCAGCTCTCACACTCCGAAAGTTACAGAAACTAAACTGAGAAGAGTTTGAGACACCTTGTAATGACTTCAAAATTCAAGTGACAAAACTGCAAGCCYCTGTAACTCACAAAAATAAATAATTGTGAACTCCTGCAAACGTTAGATGTTTATGAGACTCCCATTTACCAAGTAGTCACTAGCAGTCACAGCCCAGTGAGTTACTACTCTGATGGTCAAGTGTTGATGCAAGCGTCAGCCTACATCAGCTACAGAGAACTGCTGCCTACATAAGAGTTGAAAGAAAACACCAAGTAYTGTTCACATCCACCAAACTTTCCTAATATTAACTGTCACTGACAAGAAAATAACGCCTTAGGACAGAGGTCTTCAACCCTGTTCCYCATGACCCACTGTCCTGCATGTTCTAACGTTACCCTGTTTCAAGTTTTTAAATAACCTACTCAGAATTACATCAAGTTTAGCTGAAGCCTCTCAATAACTCATTAATTTCAGTCCGCTGTTGAAGCAGGGAAACGTCTAAAACATGCAGGACGGTGGGTCATGAGGAACCAGGTGGAAGGCCTTAGGAATTCATACCATCAATGGGCCTCATGCAAGAACCATTCGTACGCACACATTTGTTCTTAAAATGTGCGTACGAGTGATTTAGGAGAATTTGTGGCATTCACCAATGTTTTCGTATTCTAAGATTTTTTTCAGATACGAACAAAATTYAYGAGTGGTCCAGACCTGTCGTATATTTTACSAGCAGTCAGTCTGCTGTTATCCAGACGGGTTTTCTTCACTAATAACTTTATATTTCGTTAGTTTGAAGATATTTTGAGTTGAAAATAAATTACACTCCATAATTATGTTGACAATAAGTTATTCTGCTTGAATTAGAGTTATAATTTTAAATGTAATAATTTAGACTAACAATATAAATTGTCCGCCCGGCCGGCTTATCCACTATCGGGTGCGGGGGCAGCAGGAGAGACCTCCTCTCCCCAGCGACACCTTCCAGCTCGTCCTGGGGGACTCAGAGACGTTCCCAGACAAGAGGGGATACATAATCCCTCCAGTGAGTCCTGGGTTTCCTCCAAAGTGCCTGACTTATTTTGAAAACATTTTAAAATGCTTATTTCAAACCCGCATCTGAGACCACCGCAGCGCGGGGGGGGTGGGGGTGGGGGACGGTGTACAGCTCTGTGTCTTCTGAATAAATGAAAATGATTTAACACAGTTGTTTATACTTTAGCAGCTCTTTTTATTCCACAGCTGACCTGCTAAAAATGACAGATTTTCTTTTCTGGATCTCTGACAGACGGACTTCAATCTCTGAACTCGTAAAGTTCTTCTTTTTAGTTTTCACTGTCATTTTCATGAATGGACACTTCCTGATATCTGAGGCAGGAATCATAGCCTTATATGGTGTTTTTGGGGTGGTAATTATGCTAATCTCCTCTCGCGTGCACGAGCAGCTGGATAGAACAGGTGGAATTTACGCAGCTCATTTACACACTTTTCCTGAAGATAGAAGAGTTTGTTGAATCTGACGTGACATGTTCGTACGAACCCTTTGTACGAACAAAAGTAAGAGAAATTTAGGATAAGAATACGAACATGTTCTTGCATGAGGCCCAATGAGAACAAAAGTTGTTTCCTGCTGGCCAACACATAGGTCGACATGACATCAGCACCTTTTATTTTAATCCAGTATAATCTGCCACACAGTTTACTAAATCAGAGCAAGGCCAAGTCCACTTTGTAACATTACAGGATGATGGGAAGATGACGCCATCTCATTAAGTCAGCAGCCACATGGAGACAGCTACACCTTCAAAACCAGCAAAAACAAGTGGCACACATTTTCAGGACCACAAAAAGGGTAAATGTCTGTAAAAACATCCACAAATACGACTAAATAATTATCCAAAGTGAAACGAAAAAAAGAGGAGACTGAGCCACGGGCAAGGTGATTTCCAAGAGTTAAATCTTTTAACACGTCGTCAGTCACCTGGGGAGGGTGGGGGTTCGATTAGAAAAGCAAAACACGACATTTGAACAGTCCGTAACCCAGTTACACAGATAACAGGGTTTAATGGAAACTGTTCATTCAGGCCAGAGTCAAACTGTCACCCTGTAAAACAGAACAACAGGTGAAGCAGCAGCGTGAGGGTAAATATAGGATCATCACTTGTGATTGGCTGAGCAACTGAAAAAGGTCCTACACATAAAAAGACAAGAACACATGGATGCACAAATGTATCTAATTAAAATAAGATTTAATGTAAAAACCAGTAAAACTCGCCCACTGCATGCTCTATAAATATAAAGAGTCAAACTGAGTAGGGTTCTTCTTCGTTGAAACGTTTAGTCTTTTCAGTCTGAGGAGTTACATGTGAGCTTAACCTTATAAGCACTACCTTCACATGAAAATGTAGATATTAAGATTAATGCTGAAGTGAATATGAAAGCATCAAATATTACAAAGAATAGAAAGAGAAACTGCAGATCAGGAGTTCTTCCTCATCAGGGCCATAAACTGGAGGGTTATTGACAGGTTAATGTAGTTAAGAGGAGGGTTCGGTCGCTAAATATGAAGAGAATGAGATGAGATGGGACACCATGATCAGGAGGAAGCATCATCACATTGAAGGCTGGATGAGCACAACAGCTGTCTGATTTAGCAGCTTTAAACGTTTGCGTTTCACTTTCCAATACTTATAAACTAGACAATATACGAGTTGTTTTATATAAAGCATGCATGCACCCTAAAATTAGCCTCGAACGAACAAATACAGGCAAAAACATGAGGATAAGTGCAGCTAGCTTCCATGCTAACTCCAGCTAGCTGYCCAGCCCGCAGCAGCAGTCGTCCTGAATGGAACAGTTTCTCCCTTTGCTAACGAAGGCTAAGCTAGCGCTTTCCCCCCACTAAACAAAACAGTTTCATTTTACATGAAACTAAACTTTTAGCCGGGGACAAACAGAAATGAGGACTTTAACTAGGTTACCTTGTAGAAGGCCCCGTTCGAGCCGCGAACTTCTACGGCCAGCCCGTCCATGCTGCTGCTGCTGCTGCTGGTTGGTGGTGGATCCCCACGGCTGAGCTTCTCTGTGGTCGTCGTGACTCCGTGCGAGTCCGGTGCCGTCACCACCCCCAGCTTCACCGGCCCCTCGCCGCTCTCCGGCAGCTTGTGGATGTCCAGTGTTTCGGGTGGAGGAAAAAAACAAGAGGGGACAAGAGGGTGGAAGGGGGCTGTGGGGGAGAGATGGGTGTGATGGTGTCAGAAGCAACGCAACGCAGAGACGCTGCTCGCTCTCTCTCTCTCTCGGGAAGCACTCACTAACCGAGGGAACCGTTATTGTTTTTCGTCTTAAATCTGTGGTATGCGGTGCTCGCGCAACCTAAACCAAAGCACCACGAAGCAAGCCCGGCGCGCGGCGAGAAGAACCAGGCAGCGGGAAGATGAAAGCTGATGGATAATTAACCATCAGACCCCCGTCAGTTTTAGGGAGGCTAGCAGGCTAGGTATCTGATAGCCTGGATGCGTTTGTTGGTTGTACGTGTGGCGCAGACGCCGCGTTGAATTGTCTCACAAAAGTCGTCACCGGGGGGGAGGGTTTCTTCAGCCAGTGGTGAGTTTCTTTCTCGAAAAAAGCGGTCAAAAAAGCACTACCGCCCGGCGACTGCTTACACCAACCACCCTGCCCCACAAACACACGCTGATAGAGTGAATTAGGGACTGAATGACCTCAAACACCACACCCCTCACAGCAAAGACCCGCCCAATAAGAATTTTTAAGCTTTCTGACTGGCTGAAGGTCTCGCCAATCAACGATTGCTGTTTTTGATTGGATAAACAAATAAGGGCTGGTCTCTGAGCGTGACCAGTAAAATACGGAGAGTCGCATCCAACCCAACCCATTGGTTTGACTTCGTGTCCATTATAATTTCACTCAAACTGAGTGGCTCCCATGATAAATGTTGCCCACTCATTGATGAGCGAGGACCATCAGCTAGTGTGTAAACAGACCCACAATCATGTTGCTAACTAGTAATATGCACAGAAAGTCAATATAACATGGCTAAAACACAAAGAAGGCGCACTTTTTATTTCTAATATCTTAATAAAACATGGGGAGACCCATACGACAGTGACTCTAGCCTTCTGCGACAGTACAGAATATGTAGTTARTAGTCATCAGACAGGGTTTTAAAAGGGACAACCACTGCAGAGGAACAGTTATAAAATGCAGAAATCTGAGGCCTTGTTTTCTAGTCATAACTGTCCATGCAGGAGTGCAGCTAAACACGGCTGGTTTATTTGTCCCCAAAAGAATTTCTCACGTTGACAATGTAAAGTTCAGATAATTTCACTTTTTTACAAACTGGTTTTAAGGCATACATCAGTTTAATGATGACTTTTTTTTATAATTTGTCTGCACTTTTTCCATCCATCCATCCATCCATCCATCCATCCATCCATC